GCAGACCAATAGGAGTTATTTCACACACACACACACACACACACACACACACACACACACACACACACACACACACACACACACACACACACACACGGAGTACCTGTGGGAGCTGGGCCCACAGTCTCTGTAAGGCTGCTGTCTTCCTGTCCATCTGCTGCTGGAGCTTGGGGCCCACAGGGCAGGCAGGAAGGGGATGGCAAGGACCAGCTGGAACCTGTCAACTCTCGCTGTCTCCAGTCTTGATGCAGGTCACCTGCACGATTCATCACTGAGCTAAACACGCCCCCGGCCTAGGGGTGGGAGAAGCTTAAGGAAGGTCACGGGAAGGTGGAGCAGCTGCAGGTAGATAATCCACACTGACCGGTGAGTCACAGCCGCACCTGCCCCAACGCCCGAGCGTAAAACCAGCACGGCTGCGGCTTCCCTTCCACCCACCACGTCTCACTCAGAAACGTCTCTCGTGGTCCACTCTACCCGGAAACACACAGGGGAGTGAATTCTGGGGCATGTGGTTCCGCCCAGCCAAGTCACCACATTAAAAAGCCACCTCAAGTTTGAGGGTGGGGCTGGAGAATTTGCACTTCAGATAAGCTCCCGGGTGATGCGCACGCTGCAAGTCTGGACCAGGCTGAGGATCACCGCCCTCCAAGAATGCCCGGCAGGACTCTAGTGCAGGACTGCCTCAACAATTGCATTGCATCTACGTGGCCCCCGTCACTGCACACCGGGTGTGCCCCCAATTTTTATGACAAGCACAAATCCCCACCTCCGACTGCCAAAATGCTTCTTTGAGAATGGACATATTCCACAGGGAGGAACTCCTGGGGTTCTCTCAGCAATTCTAGGAAGATGCCCCAGAGAACCCCTTAAGGGACCGAAAGAAAATAAGCGATTCACGTTGACATCAGCACAGGATCCACTCTGGCAGCGGGACAGAAGACCCAGCAGCATGGACGGCAGAGAAAGTTTAGGAACTGTTTTGGCCTCACAAAAGCTCAAGGATACAAGAAAGACCAAGCAGCTATTTAGAGAGGATGAAAGAGGAGCAAGCAAGAAACCCTGCAAATAGCAACGTAAAGAAGGTGAGTAATTCGATTTGGGGCAGCTCTTGCATATGTGTGCTCAGAAGGATGTGTTCCAGAACAGAATGTGTCAAGGTGAGAAGGGTGTCACCAGGCCAGAGGAGGAGGCATGTTGAGGCGTGTCCAGGGGAGCAAGGGGTACTTTTAAAGGCTGTGTCTTTAGGGTCTCAGCCCAGGCCCTTCTCTGGAACTGCCTCCCACTCTTCCAGGTCCTCTGAAAGTGTGAGTCAGCTACCCCCGCCCGGCCACAGCGGCTTGGCCCAGGGAGGGACGTGTGATCCAGGGACCCAAATCCTTTCACTAGGATGAGCCAATCTGAACTTCTCTCAGAGAATTTGAACTACATAACACAGAACTCCAGTCCATCAGGGAGAATGGAGTCAGGGCCAGGGTCGGCTCCGCGTGGGTGGGGCTGGGTTTCTGGGGAGCAGGAACCAGGGTCTGTGGAAGAGGCCATTCCTCAGAGACTGAGACACCTGTGGAGAAAAGCAGAGGTGAGAAAGAAACTGGCAGGCTGAGACAGAGCACAGCACAGGTTGAATGAATGAAGGAAACATGAATCGCCCCTCCCACACATGATCTCCGTGATTGGTTATTATGAACGAGTCGAGTCACTGGAGGTTAGGGAGGGAAGCAGGTGTTTCCACAGCCGTGGGAGAAGGAGGTGATGCTATAGGTTCTGATTCTCTCAACTAGCATTTACTGAGTATTGCTGTGCGCCGAGTACCATGCTGGATGCTGGGATAGGAGATACAGAGATATAGAAATATAGCCCCACTGGTGGGGGATTTGGGGGGAACACCCATAGAGGGAAGGGGTCGTGTGTTGTAGGAGCACAGAGGGCTGAGTATCCGCCTCCGCTTGGCTAGAGACCAGGTGTGATCAGGAAAGGTGGTATTTGGGTTGCATCTTTCCTTCAGGCCAAGGAGAGGGTAGGGTGTTCCAGGCAGAGGAAACAGCAAAGGAAAGGACAAGTGGAAAAAGGCATAGCCCCAGGAAGTTGGAACTGCAGCTGAGAAAATGGGCCGTAGCTGGTCAGCATTGGCCCTGAGTGCTGTGCCCAGGCGCTGAGCTGGGAGTCCCTCAAGGATTCGGCGTGAGAGGGCGGCTGGCCTGGAAGAGGGGGTGGAGACCTCCTCCAGGCAGGAAGAGCGAGGGCACGTGATACAGCGCTCACACCTGCGGCAGCCTGCCTGTAGAGCTCATCTGCTTTTCTGGATTCATTTCAGTGTAGCCAGCCAATGAGTGGTTTAGATCTTCTCTGCCCAGTGCCACCCTTAGACTTGGGCAAAATGGATGCCATGAACTAAGCCAGACCCAAAAGGACAAATATATGATCCCACGTACATGGGGAGCCTAAAATAGGCCCGTTCATAGAGACAGAAAACAGAATGGTGGTTGCCAGGGGCTGGGGGAGGCGGGCATGGGGAGTTCCTGTTTAATGGGTACAGAGTTTCAGTTTGGGATGATAAAAAAGTTCTGGAGTTGGATAATGGTGATAGTTGCACAAAAGTGCAACTGTACTTAATGCCCCTGAATTGCACACTTAAAAATGGTTAAAAGGGTAAATTTTAGATTATGTTTATTTTACCAGTTTTTAAAAAGTGGATGCCAGGGCTCCATGCTTCAGAAGGCCCAGCCCCACTCCAGCCCTCCTCTGGCTGCGCCCTTGTCCTATGGGCTTTCAGCATTCAAGCACCTCGCAGGCCTGAGAGAGGCTGCCCTTCCCTAATGGGCTATGGAAGGGAGTCCACAGACTAACTTGGACCATACACAATAATTCCCTTATGTACTGACTTCACTGCCCAACCCCGCATACGCTGTAGCTACCAACAGTTTGCACGGTTGCGAGTCAGACAGCTCAGGGCCCAAGTCCCAGCTCTGTGTTCAGTTTCCCCCTCTGTAAAATGGGCCTAATCATAGTAGCACCTCATGAAGTGGCTGAAATGGGTAAATGAGCCCCTGCAATAATGTGGTTAGAGGCCTGACACACAAGAAATGTCAGAAAACTTGGCTCCTACTAGAATATTCACTCTGCGTTCTTGACTGGAGGACTGATTATAGTTGTGTTGAAGAGAAGTGAAGGGAGAAGGTCATGTTCTCTGAGGGTGGTGCAAAGTTATCCAGGCAGGCGAGTGGGAGCCCCCTGCCCTGGGCTGAGCCAGCTGGGAGGCCTGGGTCACGCTCACCAGACAGTGGTGTCTGCAAGTCCCACGTGGCTTATTATACTCTTCGGAGACATCAGTCTCACACAAGTCTCTGCCCTGGGGCTTAGAGTCTCATAATAAGTTTGATTAAAATGTCTCTCCCTTGGACCGTTCCACTCACAGGATTCACTTAGAATTCATTTATTTGGTGGGTTAATATTTTGCATCAGCTTTGTCTAAGCAGGATCAGTGCCCTGAGACCCAACCCTGGTGTTTCTTGCTATCTGTAAATGAGAATAAGGACAGGTATTTTTGCTATGAGTTTCTTCGATAAAAATTTGGCAATGCATAATTTGTGTCACCTAATTGCAACTTTTATAAGAAGTGAATTTTATGCATCCCCAGTTATAACTTCTTTTTCTTGAGGGATTTTCAAGTAGCTTCCAAAAGCCACCCTGCTTGTCTGGTTCAGATACTTTAAAGGCATAATTATGAGTTTGAATTGAGTTAAAAATAAGAGCCTCCAGAGCTTAGCTCCTGCTGAGCACAGTGGCGGGCGAAAAGGTAAATCAAAACACTTTTGAGCAAGAGAATGGATGGCTACAGTTTCAAATAAAAAATTAGGACGCTGTAAAAATCATCATATTACATTTGGTTCACTGGGAAACATCTCCATGCGGCTACTAACCCACACTTAACTCACTGTTGTAAGTACTCCATGTAGGAGTACTAACAGCAAACGTTACTTAAAGCAACTAACATGTCACATTGCTCTAAGGATGATAAAATACATATGAAATATATACAATCTCCAGCTCAACTTTCCCTTATTTTGCTAAGGGGAAAAACACATGTGAGATGAAATTGTGTGGATATTATATTTGAATCTTCTGGATCATTCCAAAGTATGATAGCAAATTTTCTAAAAGGAAATCTGGTTACTTCCAAAGTATTTTTATAATGCAGAGCTACACTAGGTTTTAGTATGATGAATTTCCACCTAAGTGAAGACTTTCTCATTGAAAAGAGTGAAATTATTGAAAATATTCCATATCAGATTTATTTCCTGGCTACACAAAAAACTCTAAGCTCAAATTTCTGGGATACCTTTGTTGTTGTTTGTTTGGCCATGCTGCACAGCTTGCAGGATCTTAGTTCCCCAACCAGGGACTGAACCCGTGCCCCCTGCAGTGGAAGCGTGGAGTCCTAACCACTGGCCCACCAGGGAACTCCCAGGGATACCTGGAAAAACCATCTTCCAAAAAAGGCTCTTTGAAAAGTCTCCTCAATGGCAGCAGATTGACATGCTTTGAAGGGATGTCAGTCCCTTTTTGGAAAGGAGATACTGGGCAGAGTCACCTCTCGTGGATAAGGGAGGTGATCAGGCTAGACAATAAGCAAACTGTCTTTTCTGTCAGTGTTTATCAAGCCTTCCCCACGTGTATCTCTGTGTGCTGGAGATACACGGACACGAGGCTTTCTAAGGTGGCTTGAAGACAGTTCTTAAAGGAAAACCCAAAGGATGTCTTCAACAATGGCAACAACATATAAAGTCCACAGTGCATCAAAATGACTACTTTTGACAGATACTTATTTAGATAAGTTCTTTTATGTTTTTTTTAAAGAAAGACTAATTACTTCATAATCATACTTTATAAATCTACTTAGATAAAATTGTACTATGTGTAGATTGTGCTTTGTTTTATAATTGATGGGTTTCTGGAAAGTTGTGGGAAAATCCTTTAAAATCAAACACACAAGGAAATTATTTTAAGAGGGAGAAACTGTGTTCCATTTATTTCCAAGCACCATTTGCTGTGTATGTCAGAGGCCCTCCAGGGACTCTGCTCCCAGAGAGATGCCCAAATCTCCAGAACCTGTCGACCTGCACTTGGCCTCCCCCGTAGGACCTGGACACCTGAGCACAGACGGGAACTAGTGAGCTCGTCAGAGGCAGGTGATAGAGCGGTAACTCCTCCAACCAGGAGTCTTCTTAATCAACGCCATGGTTCCTAGTTATTGTTCTGGACATATTTACAAACAGAAAAGACTTCACCCACTTTATCACCCTGGTTCACGATCTTCTAGACCCGGTCTCACATTTGTAGGATACGGTATGAGCTTTAAAGCTCTGCAGCAGCCCTGCTGGCAGTTTGGAGTAATTCAACCATGCAAAAATTCTACTTCGGTTGAATCATGAAATCGCTAGTTTTATAGAGCAAAAATGGCAATCTCCCATGGTTCAACCTAATATGTTGGAGGAAGAGTAGGGTATGGTATGGTTTAGAAAGTCAGCCTTTAGCATTGATCTTTCCTCCTCTTCCCTCCTCCAAATAACCCAATAGAATGCTTTCCTCTCAAGTAACTCCATGTAAATCTAAGACAGGGGATGTAGGGAAACACAGACAGTTCTGAGGCTCCAGTCCTCCCAGAGGCAGAACAGGGGAAGACCTTTAGAAATGTATTTAGCTCATAAACAAATCCTTGTTTAGCTGCCCAGTGCCGGGAGGAAACTGCTCAGCCACTGCTGGTTCTACATCTTTAATGCCATCACCACGGGAGGGCAGAGCCGCCTCCGGCCTGGAAGGAGGATTTGGATCTCACCCTCACATTACCATGCTGTGAAAATTAAGGCACAGAATCACAGTGAAGACACACTGAGATGGTGATACAGTCAGATTCAGAACTAGTCTCTGAAACCTCTGGAAATCAGCTTCCATTTTAACAGCATGGACAGGAAAGCCTTGAGTGGTATTTCATAAGCCCAGTGGGTACTGAGTGAGAGAAACAAAATACGGTCTGTTGGACTGGGTTTTGAGCTCTCTCTCCTTCTCCTGTGGGTGTCGTGGTATAGAATCAAAGGCCATACAAACCCGTTTTGGGGGTAGATTCTGCAGTGTTTTCAAGATAGGTCCCCTACACCTAGAGTCTCTCCCCGGCGTGGGCTCTCTGACGTGCACTAATACGTGAGCTATTGTTGAATTGGCTCCCACACTCAGCACATCCATAGGGTTTTTCTCCCGTGTGGATTCTCTCGTGAGTAATAAGACCTGAGCTCTGATTGAAGCTCTCCCCACGTTCCCCACATTTATAGAGTCTCTCTCCAGTGTGGATTCGCCGGTGGGTAATGACGTTTGAGCAGTCAATGAAACGTTTCCCACATTCCAGACACTCAGAGGGTTTCTCTCCTCTGATGGCTGGTCAGAGTGGAACCCTTACTGACCGTTTTCCCACACTCGGGGCACTGGTAGGGCTTTTCGCCAGTGTGCGTTCAGCAGTGTGTCCCCAAGCGCGAGCCGTTGGTGAAACTCTTTCCACACTCACTACACTTACCGGGTTTCTCTCCTGTGTGGATTCTCTGGTGCATAATAAGGCCTGTGCTCTGCGTGAAGCCTGTGCGGCACTCCCCACATTTATAGGGCTTTTCTCCTGTGTGGATTCTCTGGTGTGTGATGAGGTCAGAATGATCACTGAAGCCTCTCCCACATTTGGGGCATTTGTAGGGCTTCCCCACCATGTGGATTCTCTGGTAGCAAACCAGATATGAGCTTTGGCCAAAGCTTTTCCCACACTGGCCACATTTATAGGGTTTCTTTTCTCCAGTGTGGGCTAATCTGTGGACAGCTAAGTGTGAGCTCAGGCTGAAATGTTTTCCACATTCACAGCATACATTGGGTTTTTCTCCAACATAGGCTCCCTGAGGACGTATGAATTTACCTAAGTCTCTTTCTGGAGGAGAGAGCAACTCTTGTCCATCTTCTAAGGATATTTCCCACTGCTTCTCTGCCCCATATTCACTCTCCCAGTCTTTCCTCCAGTTGAGGTATTGGGAACCATCCACGCTGGATCTTCCTAATAACACCCCAGGTAGTTTTACTGCCTCTGAAATGTCCTGGCTTGAATCCTCCTCATTCTCTGTCCTTGTTTCAAGATCTGAAAGAATGAAATGAAACTGCAAAGGTTACCTATTTTCTGATTCAGAAGAATGGAAACAATGTGAAAGAGGTCCTTACTGGTCACTTAAAAACAAGTTATTGGTGGTGACAGACCTTAATCAATTTTCCATTAACCAGGAACAAATAAGCTGGAATATGGCTGAACCATTGTCAAGACCAGCAGACATCCAGGCCTCACTCACTCCCCCAGCTTCTAAGCAGGAAGGTCATGTGGAGAAAGGCTGGAGGCAGGTCCAGGCGCACTTCTTCCTCTTCAGTCAGAGCTGCTCCCCCCTCCTCAGAGGCTCTGTCGCCAAGCTCAGCTCCCCCTCTCCTCCCATCACCTACGAACTGGTAATCGGTACTAAAAAGCCACCTTTCTCTTCCTGATACTGCCTTCTGGGTAGAGAGACGTGCCTTAGAATAATTCTCCTGGCCATTCTCCATCCCCTTCCTTACAGGTGGGAGGAATGACTTCCTTGGTTAACAAGCAGCTGGTGTACGTGGCTCAGATCAGCAGTGAAGGCTCTATCCCTGCAGGGCGAGGTGGTGGTTGTCCAGTGCTGCCTGTGGCTCAGTTCTGGGGCTCTGTGTGACCCCACAGCTAAGCCACACCCTCAAGAGCTCCACCATTTAGAAAGCTACCATTCTGATCTCAATGTCTTACTCATGTCTCTCTCAGTCGGTCTAGAACCTGAGTAGGAGAACAGTTCTATTTACCAGATCACCTGAAATTCCAACAAAATGACTGAGCCCCACCACGGAAGGGAGCTCATCTTAATCATGAGAAATTCACCCCTCCAATAATCTAAGGTTGACTGTAGTTTTAATTTGGGGTCATCCATGTTCCCTTTTTCTACTAACCTGGTTAAGTGATAGTTAATTAAAATTATAATTCAGATAGAAATTTAAGAGAGAAATCATAAACACTAATACTTTGTTTATAGCTACATATTCCAAGGTAACTAAAGAGACCAGGCTTTCTTTTCTGTTCTTCTCACAACTCCTGTGGTTTCAGCACCACAGAACAATAACCCGGGAAGATCAAGTGCCTGGGTTCCTCTCCCGCCCTTGTCCAGTGCTGGCTCATCCATGTTCAGAATTCCAGGTCTGACTTCTTTGTTGGTAAGATACTAGCTTTCACTCATTTCCCACCTGCACAGGAAGTTTTCCGAATTTCCTTGAAATCCTGGAGACTGTCCTTCCAAAGTTCTTCACTTCCCTCCAGACTTGAGACCCCATCTGATGGGGGAACTGGAGGTCCTGCCCAAGGAAAAGCAAGAAGGGACATGGGGTTCTTACATAATTTGCCTTCTGTTCTCATATGTGGAAGTGGTAGGTGGGATGAGAATGGAAGCACGCCTCAGAAAGGTCTAGTTTTCAGAAGAAAAAGTTAATGACTTAGGAAATTTTCCCCCTTAAGTTCAGCATACAGGGCAATGTGCTTATGTACTTTAACAATAATTATAACGATGACAATGAGAACTAACATTTGCTGAATGCAAACAATGTAACAACCCAGGGAGGTAGTTACCATCACTGTGTCCATTTTGCAGATAAGAAAATGGGGGCTCAGGGTGTTTAACCAATGTACCCGGGAATAGACAAGTCTTTAAAGTGGCAGACTGTTACATATAATATATGCAGAGTTCACATCTATGGGGCACTTTAGGTGGAAACAAACAACTGAAACTTTAAGTAACTCTCCTGTTTCTCTAATATTGTTACTAAAAGCAGGCAGGGAGATCCCTTTGCTGGCGAGCAGAGCAAAATCCTCAATCATCTTCCTGAGTCACCCTGGACTATTGGTTTCTATCAGTATTTAAAGATAGGCTGTAAATAGTATTCCTCTATAGAAATCAACAGTTTTCCTCCTGACAAGCCCATTCAGATACAGACTAGTGATAGCAGAGTGAAAGACATAAGCATGTCTCCTGATTCATGGTCCCTAATCTTCCCGCGGGGCTTCCTCTCTCCCACTGTTCTGAAGTGCACTTCGGGGAAGAGAGCTTACCATTGGGATACCCCCTCAAAGCCTGGGGGCCGAGGCTCCCGGGCTCCTCTTGGGGCTCCTCTGTCACCTCATTACCATCCCATCACTGCCTTCTGGTTCTCACTGGAGTCCCCTCTAGTCCGCAGAACGCCTCCTGCCACCTCAAAGGCATCAAAGGTGTTGGCCAGGGTCCAGGGACTCATCAGGGCATCCATCTCATCGTATAAGGGGCAGGTGCCTGGAGTGTGGGTGCTCCTGGCTTTGCGGTAGTTAGTCTGGAGGTTTTTGAACCGGTAGCGACACTGCTCCAGGGTCCGCAGTAAGCCCCGTTCCCGCAGCCGCTCAGCCACAATCCAGTACACCTGGCGGTTCCGATGGCACGTACAGAGCTTCTCATGAATCCAGGACTCACTGCGAATTCCCAGGAAAATCTTGGTTTCCTCGTAGCCCCAGTGCATCCCTGCCACCTTCTCATCCTCCAGGCCCTGCCACTCCAGCTCATCCCCCATCTTGGCTTTTCTCAAGATGGGCACCTGGCCAGGCCTGACTCTGCCCCAACCCACCAGGGAGTCTCACACTCTCCTTCCCTCTGGAGCGCTGAAGACCTGGGCTCTGTGGCTCTTCCTCCTGCTCCACATGGGAGCTCACACAGGGGCTGTGGGTTGGAAAGGCTGTTTGCAGGGAGACAAGAAGAAGACATAATGGTTGGGTGAATCTAATAATCCCAACCACTTTATATGCCAGGGAGAGGAGATTTTTTTTTTTTTTAAGTCCAAGGGAGGGGGGCCTTCCCTGGTGGCGCAGTGGTTGAGAGTCTGCCTGCCGATGCAGGGGACACGGGTTCGTGCCCCGGTCTGGGAAGATCCCACATGCCGCAGAGCGGCTGGGCCCATGAGCCATGGCCGCTGAGCCTGCGCGTCCGGAGCCTGTGCTCCGCAACGGGAGAGGCCACAACAGTGAGAGGCCCGTGTACCGCAAAAAAAAAAAAACAAAAGTCCAAGGGCGGGCTTCCCTGTGGCGCAGTGGTTAAGAATCCACCTGCCAATGCAGGGGACATGGGTTCAAGCCCTGGTCTGGGACGATCCCACATGCCAAAAATTAATTAATTAATTAAAATAAATAAATAAATGCAATGAGTGGGACAGGGAGGAGAGAAAGCAAAGGAAGAACTAAGCTACCATTTACTGAACACCAGGCACTGCACTGGAAACTTCACATTTGCTCAAAATTCCTGTTAGTATGCGGCAGAACTGGGATTTGAACTCAAGACTGTCTGAATCTGAAGCTTTTTTCTCCCACTACACAATCCTGCATACTATGAGGACGAGATCCAGATACCGTAAGAAGGAAGTAGCCATTACTTTTAAGACAAACAAGCAATCTTAGAGTCAAGGAAAGAATGACTTAATACAACCCCTCACTACCTCAGCTGTGGCGCTGCCTTACACAAGGAAGGAGATTTGGGCAACATTTTTCAAGCTGATGAAATTTGGAGCCTCATCTATAAAGTTACTGGGCCTGCCCGCTGGGTAAAATTCCTTTGTAATTTCCGATAGGCAAGAGAATTGGTGCAAAGGGCCCCACTCAGTAGTAGAAGGTGACCTGAGTAAGAGGAATGTCTGGCCCACCTGGAAGCTGCGTATGGCCCCCCTGGTCACAGCTGTGCTCCGGAGAAAGAGCCAGAGCCTGAGGATCAGGCAGGCCTGGGGGGAGAGAAAGGAGCCATTAGAGGGAACGCTTCTTGGCCCCCCCCAGGGACCAGCCCATCGGGTTTGGAAACAGAAGAGTCTTCCTCCTCCTCTTAGTGTCTGCTTTGTCCCATCAAAGAAGGACTGGTGAAAAAGCAAAACAACACATTTCTCAAAGGAGAGTTCCAGATTTCCCTTCCATATCCATCCACGTTACTGACAGTCAGCGTTTTATGCTTTTATTCTTCAGTTTTGATAACACAGGTAAATCATCCGAATTGGTCTGGGGACACGTACCTGTTTTGGGAATTACTGCGCTCTAGTTTAGCCCTACCTTGTGCCTTTCCTACCACCCAGACCTAAAATTGGTACCCACACCTTACCTCCTGGGACCAGTAAGGTCTCACTCACATAAGGAGAGGTGCCACCAACTCTGCTGTGTAGTTTTACAAAACATGCCGACCAAAGTTCTTCTTCCCTTTGGAGGTGCCTGTTGAGGATTCCACAGATTCATGTGGTCAGCCTCAGTTTATATGCCACATCCTCCCAGGGAAAGGAGCTGTACCCTCTACCCCACTTCCTGCACTCAGAGTGGGTTTCGCGCCCTCCCCACAGAAGGGTCCCTTCTCCCTCCCTACACCGCTGCTGCTTACCGCTCTCGTGGAAGGATCCAAGTTTTACTTTGGGGCTGTGGTTCATTTGGTCTTCTGGTTCTGGCTGTGAGTTCTTCACCACTGCCTGGAACAGATACATGGATTCTGTCTGTGCTTGCTTCAGATGGATGTTTAGGGGACCTAGTACCGATCCTGAGGGTTCCTTCTCCTCTGACAGCACCTCCTGTCCCTGCTCAAGGACTGGAAATGGTCAGAATTCTGTAGGCACTAAAACTTAATCATCCCCAGACATAAAGCAGCAAAGGGGGAACTCAGTCTTATGCAAATCACTGCAGGGGCAGTAAGGAATGTGGATGTGTGGGAGATGCCATGGAGATAAGATCTGGAACCCAGGCCCACTGCAGTCTGCCCACCCAGCTCTCCCAGGGCTGCTCCTGTCAACCTCTAGGCAAAACTAACAATACAGAGAGAGCAAGCAACAAGGCAGCTATTTTGCAATAGGACCTAAAGGTTCAAAAATGTCAATAAAGACCAGTGAAACCCCTTGCTTCAGGCTGGCTGCTGCTGAATGAGAGCTGTTCTCCAAAGAGAAAATAGGTTGTATCTGCTCCTCCTGGATCAGAGTGGTGCTCAAACTATTTTAAACAATTCTCTTATTTACTGGTGGGGACCAACACTCAGAGCAACCAATGTTGTGCGTCCTCTGAAAAGTCAGTCTGAAAATGGAAGGAAAGTTGCAGCTACCAGGCCCAGGGAATAAGCAAATTCCATGCCGACACCAACAGCAAATTGTACACATCACCCATACTGCTGGCAACCCAAGGTGGCTCTGTCTCTCACATTCCTCTATTTTAACTACTCAGAACTAAGTTTCCATATCTCACCTGCAGCCCCAGTCTTCCAGGTTCTTTTTGCAAGTCTTCCACCAGAGCCACTGCCTCCTCTCCACTCTCTGGATGTTTCTGTCTAACCCAGATCTGGATCTCCTGGGGAAGGACAGCCAGGAACTGTTCCAGGACTAGCAACTCCAGGATCTGCTCTTTCGTACACTTCTCCTGTCTCAGCCACTGATGACAGAGCTTCTGGAGTTGGATGGAGTGCCTCCCGGGGTCCTGATGCTTCTTGATAGTGGAAGTACCAAAAGTGCTGGCAGGAGGTCTATGGTTCAGGGATACTCCCTTGAAAGAAAATTTCCTGCTCCCAGTGGGAATCTTCTTCCAGCTTCACTATTTGGAGCTCTTCTTGTACTTGAGGAGTCTGGATTTGTTCATCCACAGCTACAGCCATTGTTCAGATCAGAGAAGAACCCTGCAGCTGTGATCTGAAGTTCAAACCTCTTCCTTTACTTCACTGGGAAGCCACCTTTAGATAGGAGTCTAAGTAGAACTTGAAATTCTAGAGCCAGAGACATACATTACAGAGTGAATTATAGTGAAAATCACAAGGGTTAGCCCAGTGGGATTGAAGTGAAGAAAAATCTTCCTGTTCCTCCCTCCTCATGTCCTGATGCCCGTGGAGTCTGGCCCTCTGTCACTGGGGAGGCAGCTCCAGAAGTCTAACAGTAGGGGTCAAGGGCTGGTGGTCTGGTTGGAAAGCAGAGGAGCGTGAAGCTGTTTGCATAGCGATTTACTTAACGCCAAGAAAATGCCAATGATCCATACTGAAGAATGAGGATGAACTGATGGAGAAAATGGGGACAATAAACTGCTCATTCTCCCAAGCCACTGGTCTTCAGAGTGTTGCCAAGTACATGCAGTACAAGAGGCAGACGGCACACAAGGTAGCAGCACCTTGGAGAGCAGAGGCTGAGTGGAGCCCGCTCTAAGCTTCAGAGATTCAACCGCTCCAACCCTCAACTCTCCTCGCCTCTGGGTGGGTTCTCAGATCTGGGCGGGCCCTCTCTGGATTCCTCAGTCTTGGCATCGTAACTCTCTCCCAAACAGGGAGATTTACCCTGGTTAAGGTTACAAGATGTAACAGCAAGGATAATAAGATCACAGACTCACAGGATGTTACAGTTGGAACGAAAGTTAAGAGATAGTCAGGCTTCAACTCCCTCAAAGCTGAGGCAGTCACGGCTCAGAGACCCCCAGGACCTTGCCCAAGGTCACAAAGTTGGCAGGAAATGGGCAGTGGCTCAGCCCGGTGACGGTGGACCGGGTGACTGGCCCGCAGAGCGTGACTTACACTGGAAGGCTACTCTGCTCCGCGGGCGACCTTCTTTAGAAGCTTTATGGGGTAAACGCGGGCCCTGGGGACAGGGTCGCTTCGTTGGCTACGAGGCCAGGGTCATCCCCACCGGGCCAGGTGGACAGGGAGAAGGAGGACGCCGCCAGCATGAGGGGCGCATCCTGCCCTGGGGTCTGCTCGCGGGGACGCGGGACCCAGGGTCTCCGCCCGGTCACGCCCAGCCCGCGCGGGCCCAGGCCCGAGGTGAGGGCCGCTCCTGTCCGCCGAGGCCCTGCGACCACTGGAGGGCCCCGACTCCGCGGTACCTTCTCTGTGGGCACGCAAAGTCCCCACACGACACTCCCACTACGAGACCAGAGCCCAAGTCCGGACCTTCGGAAAGCCATAAACACCGGAAGCGGAAATGCGAGCCCCAGAAAGACTGGGGCTTGGCCGGCCTACATTTCCCATAGGCCTCCACCAGGCCCTGCAGACTGACAGCATGATTAACCAGTAATCTATGCGGATGGCTTGGGCGCCCATTTGTTTCAGACGAATCATTGACGACGGGTGGGACTTTCCTACACGCCGGATTTGGAGGTGCGGAACCGCAACTATAATCGTCGCACGTGGAGCGGGTAGTCTTGCCTCCCTTCTCCCACCCCCGTGATAATTTGGGGAGGTGGCGGCTTCTCGCCTTACTCCGCCCGGGGACCACTGAAAGAGACGCTTTCCAAAGGGTTTTCCCTTACAGCTGAAAGCGGGTGTTTATCCCTGTTAATCCGTATTTAATCCTATTATACAGGTGAATAAACCCAGGCAGCTTGGACCCCAGGTCTCTCTTAGAGTGGCGCTGAGACTCCAATTCAGATGTTTTGCCTCTTAAAGTACTTTCTGGCATAGTTGCCCACCGTGGTAATGCTTCACCACTATCCTCCCCCTTGCCTAACACACACACACACACACACACACACACACACACACACACTTATTTCCTGTGTGCACGGTCCTGGGTGATTCAAGATGAATATCATTGACGCTTATTCATTTAACAATCAATTGTAGAGCATATACTTTGGGACAAGTGAAAAATGTCCACCTCTTAGTGCAGCCCCTGCTCTGCACTCCTCTTAAGGAGTGCAGTCTGGTAGAGGATGCATTTTCTAAAATGAAATGGTGAACAACTCCAATGCAGTGTGGTAAGTGCTAAATGGAGGTGTTTTCAAAGTAAATGACTGGAAGGAAATACTGGAGAGCAGCTGGGACAGCCCTGGAGGAAAGAAGGTGCACCCTCAGGGAAAGGGGGCAGGAAACTATACTTCACTTTTGCATATTTTATCTGGTTTGCTTCTGACAACAAATTTTGCCTAGTTAGGTCTCACTCCCTATTTAACAGATAAAAGGTCTAAAATTCAACAGAAGGTGGGTGAAGCTACAATTCCCCCCCAGGAGGGGCAGCCTGCGGTGGGGCAAGGGAAGGACAGAACAACAAGAGGGGCTCTCCGTAGAGTCCTAAATCCAGTTACAAGTCTGGGCCATGGAGATTCCTTCTAGCCTCTTGATTTTAGTTCCAAGAGGGCTAATGTGGAAAACTCAGGCCAGCGCTTTCAGCATGCACACACAGCTAGCTTTCAAACCAGCCCAGCCCAGAAGTTCCAGAGAGCTGCCTCAGGGACCAGTGAGGTGGGGCAAAGACCCAGCCCGGGAGAGCGCTTTGGGTTCTCACCATCCAGTCACCAGAGCATCTCTGCTTTTACATATTTTCTATTATTTCAAGGTTTCACTTGAAAAAGTGGTTCCACTGTTACAAAAAGAAAATGGAAAATGACTAATCCAAGTATTCCATGCGCCATTCCCTTAACTCAGGGATCTCCTGAGCCAATGGAACTTTCACTGGAAGCAAAATCAAACCTGGAAAGGGTCGTCCCAAACCTAGCTCCTATCACCTTCACTGTCAAAACCACATCCAGTCCTCCAAACGAGAAGACTTGCATACGTGCCCTTGAGCTGCAAGCCACACTCCCCAAGGACTGGGACTAGAGGCCCCCGAAGAGTCTACACAGATGAGATGTTTTCCCAGCTAAAGCTTTCTGGTTCCTCAGAGGATAGTTGGTCTCAGAAACCTAGAAAGGTCTATTCTTTGGTGAAAGCAGGTTCCATTCGATCTGAGTTATCAATATTACCACAGACAGTAGGATTTCAACGTTCACCGCCACACCGAGTGATTTCGAGCAGCCTTCTGGAATGGGATGGGCAAGTACGGGCATCAGCTGAGCAGGTGAGGCAAAACGAGATCTCCAGAAGTGATTTTCCCTAGTCATGCTGCTAGTTAGGGGCACAGGTGTGTCTAGAACCAGGCCTGTCAGGTCTCTTTGGCTCCCAATACCCCATCCGCTGCGCCACAGATCTCAGGACAGGAACAGGAGGGAGACAGGCAGGAGCTAGTGACTCAGAAAGGCGGCATCACATGGGACAGCTGAGAGAGGCAAGTGACAATAGTGCTGAAACTCTTCAGCAAGAGGGTGGTTTCTAGACCATTGATATGTTTAGAAAAACATGGCACAGAGGGATTTACAAGCAGTGTGTAAGGAGACAAGGATTTTGAGATGGAAGAAATAAGCGTGTGCTCTAAGAATTCAACTAATTACAGCCACGTGTACTGAGTGGAGACCACTGTCTCCTAAGCCCACTGGATCGTCCACTTAACTCCAACTTAACCAGTGACACTAACCTGTCTGTGGAGGGGGGCGTGTTCATCAGGGAAACCTGGAAGAAAGTGTCAACGGGGGCTTCCCTGGTGGCGCAGTGGTTAAGAATCCACCTGCCAATGCAGGGGACACAGGTTCGAGCCCTGGCCTGGGACGATCCCACATGCCGCGGAGCAACTGAGCCGGTGCGCCACAGCTACTGAGCCTGTGCTCTAGAGCCCACGAGCCACAATTAGTGAGCCCGCGAGCCACAACTACTGAAGCCCGCGTGCCTAGAGCCCGTGCTCCACAACAAGAGAAGCCACCGCAATGAGAAGCCCGCGCACTGTAACGAAGAGCAGCGCACACTCGCCGCAACTGGAGAAAGCCGCGCACAGCAACAAAGACCCAACACGGCCAAAAATAAAAATAAAATTAAAAAAAAAAAGTTAACGAGGCAATCTTGGGGACGGAGCCGACAGCGCGGGGGGGGGGGGGCAGGGAAGAGAAGGGGATTTTGAAGTGCAGCATTCGTCACGTGAGGGGGGTGCATCACATGACCTCTTTCTTTCAATCCGTGCCCATCACCAGCCACTGTCTGATCACAAAGCCACCATTTCAGTTTTCCGTCACTGGAGACCAGGAACAAGGGGTGCTCTGAAAGTGGCTTGGGATTGGAGATCCCCAAGTACATGAATAATAATTGGGCTTCTGGAATATTGGTCTCTTGGAAATTTAGTTACCAGGAGCCTCCCACCCAGTGTCCGGTCATCTCTGGGTGCCTGCACCATGAAACTTGGGGACTGGAACTCGTGAGTGGTAAATCTGCCAAGATGTGCCAGCCCGAGGCATCCTGGCAGGCCTCCTGCCCCGACACCGACAGTGTAAACAGACGGCAGACACACTGTGCCTGCCAAGGCCTGTGAGCGGTGAGGGGCCTGGGCAAAGTGTTTCCTTGGAGCCAGACCTTCCTCCTCCCAGCAGCCATTCTTCTACAGCTGCCGTGGGCCTTTGAATGGATGGAAAATTCACAGGGTTGGGACACTGGGAAGAGTGAGCAGGGGAGAGGGAGTGAGGGGCAGGTAGGCCCAGGAGCCACAGCCTCTGCTGATGCCAGAGGCAAGAGCTCAGTTGCACCAGTGGCTGGGTGGAGCACCAAAGGGAATTAACCACAGCCCCTACTCTCCACCGGGCTCTGCAACCTTCTGTCTCACGACCTGAGCATCATCCGTGCGATTCCACCTTCACCTCCTCTGTGGCCACGGGCTATTTTATCAAGTCAAGAGGGGGAGAGAAAGGAAAGACTCTAATATTCTGTCCAGAGATTTGAAATAGCTTAACAGGGCCAGGCAGCAGGGAGGTTAAAATGGCCCTGCATTTGAAAAACTCCAGGTCTGTCTGTGAAAGACTGTGGGACGGGCAAGCCCAGCACACCGGGCCCCTGCACAGCTCCCTGGTTATGAGACAGGACTCCCATCAGGGATAAAGGGTTGGGGAGGGCGACCACCAGTCACGTGCAAGGAAGGACCAGTTACAGTTGTGGATCATCTTGATACTAGGGGAGTAGCCAATATGCTGTTTTTATTTTAGTGTTTTGTTATTCTCTCCATTGGTTCCTTAGGTGTTTCTCATGGCTGTAATAATGCAGCGGGGTTAATTGACTTCAGGAGTAGTGTGTTAAGCCACAGGTGCAGGGCAAGGTACATACTGAACCATGAATTGTGTTACACTAAGCTACTATGGCTTATTGTAAACCAGAAATGCAACCCAAAAGGAAATAAAATTCCATGAAAAACAAGAGGAAGTCTCATGATGACCTGCCTCAAAATGTAAAATCTCTATTAAAAGTGACACAAGTGGCACAAGTGTGTCTAGAGCCAGGTCGGCTCAGCTCCCAACACTCCACCTGCCCCACTGCAAACTCCAGAACAGGGTCAGGAGGAGACAAATTACTGACCCAGAGGGGACCTGATGGGGGGACTTTGGGGTGCTGCTAAGTTGTTTCTTGACCAGGGTGCTGGTTACACAGGTGTATACAGTTTGTAAAAATTATATGAGCTGTACACTTATCTATGTGTTATATTTCCTTTTTTTTTCTGGCTGTGCCGGGCAGCTTGTGGGATCTTAGTTCCCTGACCAGGGATTGAACCCGTGCCCCATGCATTGGAAGTATGGAGTCTTAGCCACTGAACCACCAGGGAAGTCACTGTGTGTTATGTTTCAACAAAAAGTTAAAACAAGAACTGTCTCAGGATATAGTTATACGAATACCCTGGGATTAAAAGGGTGAGGGTAAGATAAAGTCTCCAAGCTTCACTGCTTGCCCAGAGAGAAGAGAAATAGATGGTGTACTACGGACTTAGCTATAAGAAAGGGGATGCATGTTTTTCACTGACTTTTGATGATCTGTGACATTTTGAAAACAAAAGCTTTTTCGTTAGGATTCTGGTTGGTGGGTTGGTTTTTATAAATGTCTTTCGCTGTGTCTCCATTCACTGATACCAATAAATTGTAACTGAGGTGAAAGGTCACTGAAGTTAAAAATAACTTAATCATCTTACCAAAGGGAAGTGTAGGAAACCTAACCCATTTTCCAGGTCAGAATTTTGGGCTCCATCCGCCTCTTGCATTTACATACAACTGTATGGAGAGAACCCAACTGGCATATATTTATTGACTTCCTATCACATGCCAGGCCCTGCTCTGAGTGCTGGAGAGTTTGGAACCTCAGTAGGGGTGTGAGCATAAAAACTCGAAGAGGGACAGGGCAGAATCACGAAACAGGTCAATGCAATGAGAGTCACAGGCACCGAAATTGGAGAGCTCGGGTGTGGTGGGCGGGATCACGTCCGCCAGGCAAGTGCAGGGAAGACCTCACGAAGGGGGTGGTACCCAGGCTGAGTCTTCAAAGATGTGCAGGTGTGCCCTGGGCAGACAGGGCAGCCCAGCAATCCACAAGAGGGAGCAGAGGGAGCAGAGAGACGAGGCCCAGCAGGGCTCATTGAGGGGAGCTGCCAGGGGGCGAGGATGGTCAAGGGCATAGAGGTGTGGTGACGAGGGCAAGGCCAGGTATGAACGTAAGGTTCCACAGAGGCCCCCATCAGGAAGGCCATCAGGAAGGCCCCCATCAGGAAGACCTCATCTGCCCTCCTTAGGGGGATGGGGGAGCCCTGGAGGGTTTAAGCTAGGTAGTGACAGGCTCAGTTCTTTGCTGTGGAAGGACGCTCACTCTGGCTACAACACAGAGGATGGAGTAGCGGGAAGCAGGGCCAGAGGGAGCTTGGGGGGCACCAGGAAGGGGGCTTTTGCAGTGTCGGGCAGGGGTTTGAACTAGGCCGGGGGGTCGGGTCTGGGAAAAGTTGAGAAGGGCTTGGTTTCCAAACGGCTCTAAGGGATTCGAGGGAAGAAGAGTCTTGGATGACTCCTAGGTTTTTGGGTTGGGTGACACCGAGTGGATGGCAGTGCTACTCACAACGAGGAAACACACCTGTGGAACCAGCAGCCTGATCAAGGGAGGCAGGTGGGGGACTTGAGTTCTGAACATGCAAGTTTGAGGCTCTAGGAACAAGGGCAGGAGGTGAGTAAGTTGCAGAAAGAAGCCAGTAGAGAGGGATAGACTGGAAATCGAGAGAGGAAATAGCAGATGAGCAAGGTCCTGAGTCCTGGAGGGAGGTGGAGGCAAGTGACAGGTGGAGATAGATGACTATTAAACCAAAAGCACACATCTCAGCTGAGCCCGGAGGCAAGGAAGTGACGGGGTTTGATACACAGAAGTTTGCTGGTTGGGACACTGAGGGAGGCCACGCTTGGCAGGCTCAAGGTTCTCAGAGGTGAGCAGAGCCTGGGGGCTGGCGTGGGTCTGAGGGGCAATGGGTTCAGGGCAGCCACTGCGGGGCCGGGGAGAGGGAAGTGACCAAAGTCACATGAAAGACTTGCTGAGGTGGGCCTGGGGGCCACACTGAGGGTAAAGCAGATGCCTGTAAAAAAAACCATTTACTGTAGGTTTTTAATGGTCCCAAGGCTGTTCCCATGAACTTAGAAACAAACTGGTAACAAAAACTCGGTCCCTAAATATATGTACCTTGAAGGGGAAATAGTCTTTGTTACAGAGACACAGGTGTAATTGAGTTGTGAACAGAGATGTAGCAGAGGCAGATCTGCCGAGGGGGCTGGGGCTTCTTGACTTTTTTCAGGGGAAGAAGGCCGTATCCTTCCATCCAACACATCCGGCATGAAGACCCCTCCTTGCCTCTGCAGACCCCCTCTAGGTGCAAGCAGGACAGGAAGCAATGGGCTCTCAACCTTTCTAGAACCACCATTTGTCATTTCCCCAACCTGGTTCCAGTCTAATTCTGAAATTTCAGCTAATCTGGCTTCCTTTCTTTCCAGGACATTTTGTGTTTATACCAGGTAGGGAGGAATAAAAAAAGAAACTTAGTTAGAAAGGTTTAAAAACCTTAATACCAATTCTTTTCTCAAGTTGAGCTTAAGGGAAAGAGAAAAAACACCATTTCTACAACCCAAATTCCAGAACTGAATGCCACCTAGGAAACCCGCCTGTCCATTCTCCCTTACAGGCAGGGCAGCTCTTGTATCTTCCCAGACAGATGGAAATCTTTCTCCTAGTAAAGCAGCATGACGACGGGTAACGGAACTTCTTGTTCACAACCTTTCTCCAGCACCTAGCATGGTGATGGTACACACGCCCTCAGTAAATGTTTGCCCTGTAAGTGAAGGAATGGAATCGGTGACGGGGATTTCACAGCCTACGTGGTTTGGTGTGACAACTGCTACTGCCCAGAGCTTCCTTGTGTCTAACTTAGTTGATTCTGGATGGAGACGGCCTCCCAAGGAGACCATTGGGAATCATCTGGCACCTTAGCCAAAGCTGCCTCTCCAAGTGTTGGCTGACAGACTGGATGCAGAGATAGCAAAGAGCAGTGGAGAGGTGGGTGCACTGGTCAAGCACACAGGACTAGGTTCACCCAAAGGTGTGCTCTTTGAAGCAAGTGATTTCTTTCCCCCTAAAGGTCTTGGACCGCTTCCAGCCTGGGGCAGGAGGTGAGTTGGGTGGGGAAATGAGATATGGGTTTGTCAAGTTCGGGTTTTTAACACATGTGAAAAGACAGACTCAGGAAAAGAGTGGGACTGTACTTTATTAGGCAATTTGGAGCATCCACCCTGTAAGAACCAAGGTGCGTTCTGAAGGCAGGCCCTATGTGTAGGAGAGAAAAGCCTATTTACCCTCCTCTTCCCTCCTAACAAAGCCCTTCACCTGCTATCATCCTGTCTTTACTGTTTCATAGCTCAAGGACCCAAGAACAAAGCCCTGGTAGCATCCCAAGATCAAGGGCGACATCTGTAGGACAACTCTTGATTCAAGCCCAAATCTCTCCAGGGTACAGGTGATGGGTCCTCAAAATCAACACTTCCTTAAAAATAACGTTCTTTGTATACAAAAGCTACCAGACAGAATTCTAGATCTGCATATATAAGATAAAAACGACAAGTGCATGGAGTGATGATTACAGGGCCATGTATCTGGGGGGTAAAGACACAAGGCAACCCTGCAGAGTGCAGGACTGTTTCACCCTGAAGAAGACAGAAATACCATCCACCAGGGGGAGGCAGCTGGCGGCTCTGACTTCACCTCACACTCAAAAACTAAAACCCTGCAAGAATAAATGTGTCCCCACCGACCCACAGCCGACTTACCCCAGGACAGTAAGCAGAGACAAGAGCAAACACATACATCGCCTCCATTTATGCCTTCCCTGGCAGGCCCCGGGCAACTCCTATCAATGGGAAGGTACTGGGACACTGGTTCTGGGCCAGGCTCCCTCATGTTCCGGTGTTCCTGACACTTTCTAGAACGAGAAAAGGGCTTTAGCTTCATGCGGATGACTCAGAATGGGAGAAGCCCCTCCACCTTGACCCGAAATCAAACCCCAGGACACAAAGGCAGGAAGGGCCAGTTCTGCCATGGCAGGGGCCCTGGGATGCTAGCAGCTCGGGTGAAGGCACCTTAGCCCAACAACTGGCAGCAGAACGACCAGACAACACCAACAGGTTTCTGGTATTTCTCTAAAATGTGGGCCATGCTGTCTTCCGTTCCACACAGAGAAATATCCCCCCTGTTCTACCAAAGAGGAAACTGGGGCACAGAGGACGGAGAGAGAAGGAGCCAATCAAGTCGAGAAACGTGACAGAAAAAGCCCCAGCTTTCCGACCTTCCATTCCTACGCTCTGTTCTCAGGGTTTGACTCTGACCACTAAGACGATGGGATCCTAGAAATGAGGGTGAGCAGGGGTAAGATTCTGGCAAAGATCCCCAACAAGCCTTTAGGAAGAATGGCTCTTCTACAGACACATCCCTGTCTGGGGGCAGAGTGGCAAGTGCCCTCCTGGGCCAGTCCCTCACCTTCCCTCTCTGCCCCTTCAGTAAAGTTTCTCCTTCATGTGAGTTCTCTGATGTGTGATAAAATTGGAGCTGTTGCTGAAGCCTTTGCCGCACTCGGGGCATTTGTAGGGCTTCTCCCCGGTGTGTATTCGCTGGTGTATGATGAGGACTGAATTCCAGCTAAAGCCTTTCCCGCACTCGGGACACCTGTATGGCTTGTCTCCCAGATGGGCTCTCTGATGCATGACCAGGATGGAGCCCCGGCTGAAGCTCTTGCCGCACATGAGGCATTTGTAGGGCTTCTCACCCGTGTGGGTCCTCTGGTGCACCACCAGCTGGGAGCGCTGGCTGAAGCCTTTCCCACACTCATTGCATTTGTAGGGCTTCTCACCCGTGTGGATTCTCTGGTGCTTGATGAGGTTGGAGCTCCAGCTGAAGCTCTCCCCACATGTCAGGCACTCGTAGGGCTTCTCGCCCGTGTGCATCCCCTGGTGTGCAATCAGGCTGGAGCTCTGGCTGAAGGTCTTCCCGCACTCCCCGCACTTGTAGGGCTTCTCCACCAGGTGGGTCCTCCGGTGCGTGGCCAGGTTGGAGCTGCGGCTGAAGCTCTTCCCGCACTCGCTGCACTGATAAGGTTTTTCTCCCGTGTGAGTTCTCCGGTGGGTGATGAGGGCCGAGCTCTGGCTGAACCTCTGCCCGCAGTCGGGGCACTTGTACGGCTTCTCTCCTGTGTGGATCCTCTGGTGCCTGATGAGGTTGGAGTTGTAACTAAAGCTTTCGCCGCATTCTTTACATTCGTAGGGCTTCTCTCCTGTGTGGATCCCCTGATGCGTGTTCAGGCTGGACCGGTTTCCAAAGCTCTTGCCACACTCGGGGCACGAGTACGGTTTCTCCCCCGTGTGAGTCCGCTGATGGGCGATGAGGTTGGGGCTCCTGCTGAAACTCTTGCCGCACTCAGCACACTGGAAGGGTTTCTCTCCCGTGTGGATCCTCTGGTGGGTGATGAGGTTTGCACTCCGGCTGAAGCTTTTCCCACAGTCCCTGCACTTATAAGGTTTCTCCCCGGTGTGAGTAGTTTGGTGTCTACTGAAGTTGGAACCATCACTAAAGCTTTTTCCGCACTCATTGCATTTGTAGTATTTCTCTCCTGTGTGGGTCCGCTCGTGCGTGATGAGGTGGGATTTCCGGCTGAAGGTTTTCCCACACTGGGGACACTCATAGGGCTTCTCACCCAGGTAGGTGCCCTGAAGGCCTATGAGCTGTCCAACTTCCCTGCTCTGGGGTGGCACCTCCCCATGGTCCTCCCCCGGGGTGTTTCCCCGGGGCCCCCGGGAGCTGCAGTCTCTCTCCAAGTCACTTTCCCAGTCAGATTGTGGAATGCCTTCCCCTTCAGGCATTTCGGAGAACATTTCATGTGATTCAACATCCTCAAATATGTCTTGGTTAGAGTTCTCCCCATTTTCACTCTGGATCTCAAAATCTGAAACAATGAAGAAAATTGTACAATTTGTACTCAATTTCCTGTAATGATGAGAAAAGAAAACCAAAGGGGAAATTTAAAATGAATTAAACTTCGAGTGAAAATAAAAAGGCTAGAGAACCCTCAAAACTTAAAAAAAAAAGACAGGTTTATTTCCTTCTAACTGGTTATCCAGTTGCCAGGTCTCATATCTTTATGGTGATCACCCAGAATTTCTGAGTCTTAAAGATGTGGGTTTCAGGTCTCTACCTGTTTCTCCACTGGGAAATGAGATCAGGTGGGAATTTTCAAATTCCTGATCAAAGGAAAGCAACAGGGTACACAGTCCCCGATACTCACCATGGTGCTCGATGCTTAGTAGGTGCTCTATTAAATTTGATGAATGAATGAATGAGTTTCTTATTGGTACCACAGATATTCCCCTAAAGCTCAGTCTCGTTTCAAATGGAGCTTATATAATAATTCTGTGCATTAAAATGTCTGATGCTTATAATCTTATTAGTTGGCATTTAAGTAAGATACAGACAAGATGACAGGGCACCAGCAACAAGGACTCTATGTGTCTATACACATGACTGGAAACAAGTAAGTGGGCAGTTAAAAGAGCCCTCAAATTTGGGGACTTCCCTGGCGGTCCAGTGGTTAGGACTCCGCACTTCCACTATAGGGGCACGGGTTTGATCCCTGGTCAGGGAACTAAGATCCCACATGCTACGCAGCCAAAAAAAAAAAAAAAGAGCCCTCAAATTTACCTGCAGTGAGAGTCTACAGATAGATCTCCTATCGGTAATACAAAATATCTACCTTCCAGAAACTTGCCAAACTACCGCCCAATACTTATCAAACGTTTGGGTGAAACAAATCATGAGGGAGGACTGCTGGAAGAACATGCATTCCCTTCCTCAAATGAGAGACTCTAAAGTCTATCCCAGGATTAAGCCAGCAGAGCCGTGGGCCTGGATCACACTGCTCTGACACTGGCAGAACTGTGTTCACTGAACTGTGTGTTGGTTTAATGACTCTGGCTGACACTGATGAACACTCTAAGAAGGGTCATTAGAAATTAATCACAGACTTCCCTGGTGGTCCAGTGTTTAAGAGTCCGTGCTGCCACTGCAGGGGGCACGGGTTCGATCCCTCGTCAGGGAACTAAGATCCCGCATGCCGCACAGCACAGCCAAAAAGTAAAAAATTAAAAAGAAATGAGGGCTTCCCTGGTGGCGCAGTGGTTGAGAGTCCACCTGCCGATGCAGGGGACACAGGTTCGTGCCCTGGTCCGGGAAGATCCCACATGCCGCGGAGCGGCTAGGCCCGTGAGCCATGGCCGCTGAGCCTGCGCATCCGGAGCCTGTGCTCCGCAACGGGAGAGGCCACAACAGTGAGAGGCCCGCGTACTGCAAAAAAAAAAAAAAAAAAAAAGAAAAGAAATGAACTTCTATCAACTAACATTACATTGTTAATCAATATTAAAAAAAAAAAAGTAAAAAAAAAAAAAGAAATTAATGGCTGTGTCAGCTACAAACTGGCACTTGCCATCTACCTCTACAAGGACTAAATCACATGCTGCTGCAGCTGCTGACTTTCAACTCCCCCTGAAAGGAGTTCAGGGTGGAGAGCAGAAATGAGGCCCTCCATGCTCTGGGAAAAACTGGCAGAACAGGTCTTCAGATAGTTAATATTTTCAGGAGACCATTTTATGAGCCCAATTCTTGCATCTCCTCGTATCTAGAAAAGCACTCAATTCCTTCATGGTGACGTCTGCTCCTCGGGATTAGCAGTAACCTTCACGAGACTAGCAGAAACCTTCTGCAAAAAAATATGTGCTTGATTGTGTATACTCCCCCTTCACCAAAATCACATATATACTGACCTCCCCCATTACGTCTTTGGAGCAGTTTCTCAGAGCTACCTGAGATGCTGTCTCCCAAGTTATAGTTCTCATTTTCTCCCAAATAAAACTTAACCCTCAACTCTCACATTGTGCATTTTTTTAAGTCAGCAGCTGTCAGGAACATTAATGCTGCCAGGAAGTTGTTGACGACATTGTTTATACCACACAATATCCTCTCGATCGGCCAGAGGAGGAAATTTCTCTCTGATGGACGTATCAAAAGGAGCTTCTCTTCTGAGTGATCTGTGTCTGCCTCACGCCCCTGACTGTGGCTCCCTCTCTGCCTTGCCTGCTTGGAAGCTTGGAGCCAAAAGCCCAGAGCAGGAATACTGGATGTTTTTACAGCATGCAACTTGTGTTCTTTCATTTTTTCCTTCCCAATATTTTCTTCTTTACTATAATTTCTTTGTGCTCTATTTCTGTAAGGTATCTTCAACCCTTTTTAAAAATTCTATAGAGTATACAGAAGTCAGTCAATGCTTTTACTGATAAAGGTGATAGCCTGATTATTACTAAGACCTAACATCACACATCAGACCTCATAAGAAAGTAGTTCCATTCATAGCAAGGAAGACAATTAGCAAAATAATTACACAAAGTCCTAGTGACATTTCCATTGTTAATGCTGATAAACTGTTTAAGGTTAGATGCTCAATTCAGTGATTATTAGTCTCTATAAGTTAATGTAAATTTCCGTATATGAACATGATACAATGTGGCCTACATCTCTCAGGTTGAACCTAGGTTCCACTCATGTCTTTAGTCAAAATAAGATCTACTTAAACTTGCAATTAAGCATATAATTACATTTCATGCTCACACTGACATACATGCTGCTGGTAATCTGTGGACTCCTATAATTGCCCTTGGGCCCCCCTCCCCCAGATCTCCAGGGGATGGATACAGGAACGAGGGGCACCATGCAAGCTCCTGCCTGGCTAGGGCCAGAAATTCTGTGCTTCCTCAACATCCTGCAAGACTGCTCTTTTGCAAGTTTCTATCACAGAGCTCTGCTATTATCTCTTCTATAAGAACCTCCAGGCTGAGGCCCTGATTCATTTTCTTCAAGCTAACATGACCCAAAACCCTTTTGTGATGACCTTTGTAGTTGTTCTCTTCCAAATAGGGACAGTAGTTAATAAGGTTTTTCATTGCCCTAAAATCAGAACTGGTATGTTCCAGGCTGAGCTCAGAAGCAACAGGAAAAACAAAAACTCAGACTTCATTTTCAGTGAGATCAGGAGGGAGATCAATTTGCAGACAACAAAATACATGTAAGGGCTTCCAAAAACAGCAGAGACCAGGCAGAAGCCAAGGAGGGAAAACGTGAAGAGAACAAGCATGGAAAGCAGGAGGCGGGCGCTCTTGGGGGCAGTGTGTCAAAAAGCTCAGGCAGAAAATCACTTCCTGAGGGTCAGGGACTCACCCTCAAGTACATCGGTACATTTGGGAACTGGGGTGAGCAGGGCTGGCTTCTTTGGTTCGGAGAAGCAAGGGAGGTGAGGCTACAATTATACAGAATCACACAGATGAGCTGTGTGTGCAGGAAGCTTTCTGTTTCTGTAAAGCAGCGGAGAGAGCCTTGACTCTCCCAAGTGAATCACAGGAATTATTGTTATTGAGAAAAATGACCATTTTTCATCCCTAAAAAATGTTAAGTGAAGCAACCGCCTCTGTGAAGGAAGACCACAAAGTAGAAGTTGAGAAGAGACAACAGGAAGAGAGGAAATGTGATCTGGGAAGAAGGGAAAAAAATCCAGAGAAATGAAGACAAAACGGGGAGGAACTCAACGGAAAATAGGCACCTTGGAAAGCACAGGAAGGGAAAGGGAGATTTGAAGTGAGATGGAAACAAAGAAAGAAGTTAGAAAGATTAAAGACCAAGGGGGAAAGCGGGGTGGTGGTGGTGGGATGAATTGGGTGATTGGGATTGACATGTATACACTGATATGTATAAAATAGATAACTAATAAGAACCTGCTGTATAAAAAAAAAATAAAGTTCAAAAAAAAGATTAAAGAGAATGACAGAAACCAAAGTGAGATAAAAGGAGAATCAATAAATATATAACTAGAGTTCTCAAAAAAGGAAACTAAGCCAAAGGAATAGAACAAATCCTTCAAGTATAATCTATAAAGATAGAAGAACCCTTGATGGGACTTCCCTGGCAGTCCAGTGGTTAAAGCTCTGCACTTCCAATGCAGGGGGCACAGGTTCGATCTCTGGTCGGGGAACTAAGATCCCATGTACCCCGTGGTCAAAAAATTAAATACATTTAAAAAAAAAAAAGACAGAGGAACCCTTGAAAGGTACACTGTGTGCCAAGGAAAACTAACCCAGGGTGGTTACTAATGAGACAGGGGACAACAAGGTAAAAAGATCGAATCACTTATATGGGGGAAGAAAATCAACCAGTCTCAAATTTCTCTCCGGAAACATTCAATCCCTGCAGATCATACAGCAAGAGCTACAAGACATGCAAGCAAAGAAAACGGATGTGAAGGATTTTACGTTCAACAAAACTGTCCTTCAAGCATAAAGTTTACAGGCCAACAGCTTTGAATATACACAAGTTCACAGAATACTGTTCCTATGACCCTTCTTGAGGAAACTATTGGGAGATGAAATTCGGTCAACCACGAGACAAAGGCAATGCTAGAGCAAAAGGACTGGGGCTGAACAGATACATTTAACTTTAGAACAACGTCTAAAACTACTGTGGCAGTTAGAGGGAAAAAAGAGAATGTCAATGTTACACAGACATGTAGAAATGACATGCTAACCAAAATTGGGGTTGTGGGGAAGAAACTGGGATATAGGATATATTCATTAACTGCCTCATCTGTATATCTGGGCGTCCAAAGGTTATCATTTAAAACTGGCAAATCATGTAACTGAAGTATAAGAGTCTTTAACAGTACAAAAATAAACATTATTGTAGATAAGATTACTGACTGAAATGAGGGGAGTAAGGCAGGGAGCAACTATCTCTGTCAAATGTTAAAACATAAAATCTCAATACAGTAAGTCCCCTACATACGAACCTTCAAGTTACGAACTTTCAAAGACATGAACGTGCCCCTGGATGCCAGCTGTTGTACTCTACTAC